TTGTTGTGTTTATATGTTTGTATAGTCTAAATTACGATTACGTGGCGACGCGTTTATATTTCCACATCAATTATTAACTTTCCATGGAAATGTAAACAAAAAAAGTATTTTTGTTCAGTAGCTCCATAAATTAAGTTGGTATTGATTTATGGGACGTTCTTTTTTTTTGTCGTGATTATGGGACGTTCTAATCTGATATATACTCATTAGATCATTACTAATATGCAGTAGTGTATTATTTAACCAATTATTTATAAACAAATACAAAACCAATTCATACTTATTTTTAGTAAACGAAGCAGCACATGCGATAGTTTACTTAATCATAAACTTAAAATGAAACAGAGCCAGCCATTAGTCACAGATTTATTACTAATTAATTAATTTCTTCAGAGTGTCATATAGATAAGTGAGCTGACTTTTATCAGATTTTTCTTCTAAATATAATTAGTGGTAACTCAGATCTGGAAAACTATTTGTGTTTGTTAATTTAATAAAGAGATGTACAAGACATCTTTTGAATGTTGTAAACTGTTGATGCAGTCATATTGTTTTTTAAAAGAAAATAATTCCATCTCTGATCAGTTTTTTCCAATATACTTAACTTTTGCCAACAAAAATACCAATACATACTAATTGTTTTTTTTGTTATCGGAATGTCACGAGGAAAAGACAAGAAATAAAAAATGATTGAATCGATCGAATAGTTAATCAATTACGTGGCTCCAAGCATTTATTTCTACTTGGACAGAAAAATGCTAAAACGACAATTTATTTTACATATGCGTAGAATCTCGAAACCTCCCTTTTAGCGATACACCATAATTATAATTGGAAGGAAAAAAACAGCCTCGCATTCTCTGTAACCATTCGATAGTGATATTATATTGTTCATCAACTATATTATATACACCCACTTTTCTTTTAGTAACATAAATTTGCTGATTAATGTCAATAACACCGGTATAGACCAATCTCGTTGATTCACGTCGTGATTCACGTGTTACCTACACACCGTAGGATTATAAAATGAACCTAGACTACATTTCGTTTCGGTCACTTGGCCCATGTACAAACTACAAATCTTCTTCTCACTTTTAAGGTGACTCCTAACACAATACCATAAGAGGCATGTCGATCTCCAGATCCGGTGATGAAACCGGAACTAAAGTTTCAAATGGTACCGTTGAGTGTTCAGTCGATTTCCGAGGCAAGCCATCCGTTAGATCGGCCTCCGGAGGATGGAGATCCTCTGGCTTCATCATCGGTAAGTATTTGAAATTAATAAATCCTCCTCAACGTCCTTTCGTTTTCCCGCCAATTTTCTCAAAAATGAAAGAGAATATATCTCGGCAGGTGCGGAAGTGGCAGAGAAATTCGCCTACTATGGGATAGCCTCAAATCTGATAACATACTTGATGGGACCGTTAGAGGAGTCAACGGCGGCCGCAGCTTCAAACGTGAACCTCTGGTCCGGAACGGCAGCGTTTTTGCCGTTGTTATGGGGTTCTATCGCCGACTCGTTTCTCGGCCGTTTCCGTACCATTCTCTTAACCTCCTCTCTCTACATCTTGGTAACTAATTACCAAAAAATAAGCTTCCTCTTAGC